TAATCAAGGTGTAAGGCTTGATCAATCTAATTCTGACTAGTAAAACCTTACACAAATAGAACTCATAACCATGTGTTTAAAATTAAGTGTGAATGGCTGAAAATTAGGAACTTAGTAGTTCACTCATTGCCCATGACATTTAAATTCACCAATGTTTTGTGAATGGCTTTGTTTCAAAAGTTAGGTTGGGATGCACTTAATTTCAAAAATTATTTATAAAAACTGGAAAACATCAGAATCACTGAAGTATTATTGTGAATAAGAATTCAAAATGTAGAGATGATCACTTAATTTCATGTGTTCCTTTTTGACTGAATTTAACTGTCTTTGAAATTCAGAACTAAACTGAAGTCCCACATGTGTGAGTCCCAGTAAAAAAAATTGTAGGGGAAGTACACTGCAACTGCAACACTATGCAACTGGGCTCTGACTCCTGCCCCTCACCCCTTCCAATGGCCTCTAAAAATTAGAGCCTAAAAACCAAACTCATCTTGGTCACCAAAACTGGAGCCTTATATCTGGGGTCCAAAGGAGAATTCAGACAATGGTTGGAAAAAGTGACATCCCCCTTTCCCAGGCACCTGTGAATGTTTAGTTAATACAAAGGTTAATTTAATGGTTCATTGTGTAATTTCATGTCATTTAGTTCATTCATTCATCAAACTTCTGCCATTAACTGCACAGGCCACATTTCAAAAATTCAGCTGTGAAAGACTCAAATTTAATTTGTGAATAAACATTTTGTATGCAAAAATTTGGACATATTTCCTAGGATAAATTTTGCTCCTTATATTCTTTACCCACAAAATGCATCATGTCATCACTGATTTTCAATAGGATCCTCAAAAATATATATTTGTCAAGTGTTATATACTTTGGCACATGTTCATTTGTCTGCATCTGCTAGTTTTTATATACATTGGATAATCCAGATTCTCACTTGAGGTCTACAATTTGTTTCTGATGGATTTAAATGTATTCCATTTTTACATGTATGCTCATAACTCCATCAATGTTCATTATTTTTAAGAGAAAAAACTGTGCAGTGCATACAAAACATAAAAAAATGAATTTTGTTGCCACTCATAATTTTTGATTATTTTTCAAAATGATAATGATGAAAACTTTGAGAGTCTGCTCTGGGGCTGGGTGGGAGGGAAGTAGCCAGAAGTTGAGAAAGGAACTGCAAAGGGACTCATTGGCACATGAGCAGGGATTTTTTAGAAAAAATGTTTCAAGTGACCAAACCTGGTCAATAATTGCAAAAACACTTGTATAATGTACTACAAAACATATGAGTTATAAAAAACTTGACATCAAAAAGTTGTAAGGAGTTTGCCCATACCCAACCCTAGTTAGACAGTATCATGTAAATTAAAATCATTTGGAAGGAACACCAGTAACCTTGTAGTGCATGAGCAGGGAAATAGCTTTCACAATCTCTGGACCTCATATTCCACATAATTTAAAACATTTACCTGGTCATTTGTTCCCTGCAAAATCAAAAGTTACTGGGATAATTGTGTGTCAGGAAAACAGGCCAGAATGCTGTTAAGAATGCAAAAGATGTAGGAAAATTCATGAGGGAAGTAGTGAATGTTTAAAAGATGAAGAGAGAAAACATAATTTCCCCATTATTCAATTCAGCTCCATTACTTTGGAAGCCTGAATTTCTTTTATTTTTTGGAGGGTTAAATGTGAAAAATTTATATTTTTGATTTGTAGAAAAACTTCATCAATACAGTAGTGAATTCAAAAATTAAAAAGTGAGTGTAAGAATTCCAAGAATTTTCCAGATTTTCCACTGCTACTGAATTTTAAAAATGTTCAATTTATGTCATTTTGGCAGGGTATGTGTGCCTTGAAGTTTTCCAAATAGCTGTTTCTAATTTGTGCAAAAATATTTCAAAAATAAAAACTACTGTACATGTAAAAATTTTCAAGTTTTTCAGAAGTTTATAGTTTAACTCATTAAAAAATATTTACAACAAATTAATTGCTGTCTTATTGCAGGGTGAGTGCACATTTATTTCTATGTATTTTAGAAAAATATTCATAATTGAGGAATTCAACAATGCAAAACTAAATGTAGAAAATTCGAAATTCCGTATTTTCCAGCTTTACTTGGCTGTAACTCATTTTTTATGGGAGTAATTTTATTTTAGTACATGATGGGCTGCGCACTGAAGTTTTATAAACTTCAATACTTCATCTGTTGAAAAAAAGTTTGAGATTTAAAAAGTTAAAATAGAAAACTGGGATGTTCCCTGAAAATTTTCGTTTCCCAGGATCTGGCGCAGCATCCTCTGGGTTCCTGTCTCTGTGAAGCCTCAGGGAAGACTGACCCTCCCGGGAGGGAGAGTCAGGGGGCGGGACTCCCGGGAGTCTGGGAGGGGGTGCCGCGCGCCTGTGCATTTTGGCGGGAAACTTGGGAGCATGCAACAATTTCGAAAAAAGTTCCGAATTTTGAACTGTAACTCACTCAATTGTCAATATTTTTTGATGAAAAAAAAACGAAAATTTAGAAAACTTCAGCGCGCATCGAATGGTGTAAGAAAATTTAAGTTTGGTGGAAATCAAAATTTATAAACGATTTTTGAAGAGAAACGCAGGAAATTCAGGTCTGAGGGAACTCTGGTCTCTTGGAGGCGGGGCAAGGGAAATTAAAAAAACGTGTGTACGAACTTAGGAACAGAGATAAGTAACTTTATTAGTAAAGATAAGGCACCAAAATATTTACCTCCAGCACATGCTTACAGCAGGGTGTTTTTTTTTTTTTTTACAGAATATGCAGCAGTTGACCCTCGATAACTCAAACCTCCCTGTACAGTACAGTATTTAAAATTTGTTTCAAGTCGTCCTTGCCTGAATTCCCTTGTAGTAATAATACAATAAAAGCCTCCTGAACTCTACGGCTTCCCCCTCAAACTTCCACAACTCAAATTTTCTGAAGGCCTTTCGGCTGCTCGGCTGGGAAGAGAAAAGCGAATAAGAAAATGTAATTTGATGCATTTTGAAAGGAAGTGAGATGAGACTTGAATCGGGTATATGAACCATTTCCTTCAACTTCCCGTCAACTCATTCAGGAAGCAATTCAAGGTCCAGAGTATCAATCCAATTAAAATTTTGTACAATTTTCCCCAATGAAGATGCACCTTTCCCAAACTCGATTTTTTGCTTGTCCCATCAAGGTCGAATTAAAGAGGTTCTATAGTACAGTAATTATATAAACTCACATCCCACGTTGCAATGGTTTCAGCCGCATTCGGATGCTGCGGAAGTCGGGCCGGTCTGATGGATCCTCGGCCCAGCACTCTTGCATGCACTCGCGCACTTCCGCTGCCGTGTCCGCCGGAAGTTGGTCCAAAGGCGGTCGCATCAATTCTTCCGGCCACGTGCCGTGATGCTGCTTCCGTTCCGGTGCAAAAGATGAACTCTCTCGCTCCATGGGCCTCATCACTCCATCCACAATATCTAAAACACCGGAAACGACGTCCAAGTGCGTGTGATTTACACCTTCAAAGCAACTCCTCTCAATTATAGGTGTCACGGCGGAAACAGGATTCTTAGTAATATGCACGCTGAATTAGGTATTTTATTTTGATGCCTTAATTTCGTTCCAGATAAAATCGTTTGAACATACAAGGGGGCTAATAGCATTCTGGGAAGATTTTCAAAAAGATTTTTTTCAAAGCTTTGAGCATTCCATTCGAAACCTTGGCTTATTCACCGCTTCAAACTCACATACGCACTACTCGTACGTCATATTTTTCATCCGAGATATTGTAAATGCAATAAAAGCATATGTTCAGCTCTCGATTGCAAATTCCGTTCTCGAGATTTACCTCGATATTGAAACTGCTCCTAATATCCTGCAACTCTTTTCGTTTCACCTGAAGCATAAAGACACCCCTCTTCGTTCAGTCGTGGACTCGACTCGTGGTTCACAAAAGGATCGAAGCTATTGTGACCGGAATTGCTTCGGTTCTCATTGTCATCGATGCAGTGCCCTAAATTTAATTTGAAATACATGCACAGTCTCACAGCTGTTAGCTGTTATTTTCTTGCAAGTCTTTCACAAGATGAGAAGATATCTAGACAAAAGAAATGGAGTTCAAAATGTCACTTGTTCTTCATTCCCTACTTGAGATACAAATAATAAACGAACGCGTTCTCAATAGGGCATAACTAACCGTTGAAACTGAACGAAAATGTAAAATGGACAGAAATGTCGCCTAGTATAGCACAGAACTGAGAACGACTGACAGACACAAATCGTTGTGTATGAAGGACACGGGGAAAACTTTTTGACACGTGGCAATGGTGGCATCCTTACCTTCGAGAGCTTCTGCGGCTCGTTGAAGGAACATGTTGTTCGAAAAATGTGTGTGGAAAACTACTTAAATGATTCACACACCCTCCGGCCATAATTTTGCAAAATTCCGTTGCGGAAGGAAAAAAAAAGATGCGCGCTCAATTCTCCTGAGAGATTATTTGAGGAGTGAAGCGTTATACAGTATACCGATGGAATTATAATACTGCAGTAGAGTACACGGAGCTAACCTTCAGGAGTGAGTTCTGAGTCGAGAACAGACCCGTACGGCCCGGTTCTGCCGATCACTTCGAAAAGGATGATCCCGAACGAGTAAACGTCCCCCTTTTGTGTTCCCTGGGGAGATGTCGCTCCCTCTTGGGCCCGCGCTGACGTCGACCCGATGCTCATTCGCAATGCGTGAGCCAACAGGTTCCCCGAGGGAGATGTGGAAGCGGATGCAGCCAGCAAACCGGCTCCACTCATTGTCGGGTTGGTGTTCCAAACATTTCCCTGGGAATGAGGGATCCCTTTATTTTTCTGTTCAATGAGGTATGACGGGTTTTTCATCGTGATCTTTGATGCTGCTTTACTTATTGAAGATACTGTACTGTACTTTTTGAAAATCAGGAATTCCTTTTTTTTTTCTGCACTTATTTGCCGGTGAACAAATAAGCATGAGGCGGTTCTCAAATTCCTTACGGAAGTCACCTATATACTGTACACCTACAGGAAACGTGCATTAATATCCATTTTTCACTTGAAAAAAAGTTAAATTCTGTCCAAGTGAAGTTGCGGGAAAATAAATGCGTTTGCAAAAGTCAAATTTGTCACTCAAGGGTAACATCCAATAATTTGTTAATCTCTCTACATCTTCGAACTGAAATACAGGCGTAAATATAACCCAAAATAGAGAATTCCTCAGAGGAAAAAAAACCCCCCTTCACACTTTAAAACTGTATCAATGATGGTTCCACTTTGACAATCTCTATTTTTTCAGATGATTACGAGGTTAAAACGACTTTCCTGCTCAATTCTGTTTTCCTAAGCTAAGCTTTTACCATACAGTACTTTTATTGCTCTGTTTCCATCGCATTGATTGCATGAAAAATTAGGACTTAATGAAGCATCATCCAAACCAGCAATCTGGCGTAAATTTTAATTAAGCCTTTTTTTCAGTGCTTTTGGACATGAAATTGTGCAAAAATATCACAACTCTGCTGTATAGAAGTATTAACATTCGTAAATTACCATGGTTTAACATCAGCATTTCCTTCTTGGAAGTGAATCCAACCAAACATCATCATCTTCAAAATAAATAAATAAAGTTTTTCCTGGAAAAAATGCTATTTTTCTCCAGCAGCAACTCTTTCCTCCTACCGAGCCTCATTGGAATGAACTTGTTTCATCTCTTGTAAGCAGTCATCTGAGAAACTGTCTGAAGAATTATTTCAAACAGAAAAATGACAAAAACAGCTCTGAGAAGAAATTCCCTATGATCTATGCCCTTTAAGTGCTTTGACATGTGCAAATTATGATGGGCTGGCCCTTCCTTATGGAAGTGGACTCAACCCAACAACATTCTTATCTTCAGAATAAAAAAAGAACCTTCTTATTTTTTCCTTTAAAAAAAAGCTGCTTTTCTCAAGGGTAGTTTTGCGCATTTTTTTTTTCACTGCTCATGTACTCACCCCTTGTTTGGCAGCTCCATCAGCGCTGATGCTGCTGCGAGCCTGCGGGGATGCCCTTAGGATTTCCGGGGCACGCCAAAGCAGCTGTCGGGCAGGAACTGAGTTCATCTCCAGCAGGTCTGTTGAATTAAACAAAAGGTAGAAGGGGATATACGTAAGAGGTTTCGTGCCCTTCATTTTTCTTCCTCTTGGCTCCCTGCACAGCAGGAACCGCACAAAATGAACAGGTGTCAAACAATAAGTGGCGGGTTCTTCCAGTGCGAGAGAGAGAGGTTGCGCTAAAAAGTTCCACAGCGTTTGGGTCTCCATTCTGAAAATTATTTTTCTAGCTTTGTTTTCTCTAAAAAAAAACTTCTCTACTCTGGGAAACCCGGGATAAATAATATTTATTCAAGCGCGTATTTTTTCAAAGGGAATGAACCCAGCACAAGCTCTTTTCCCGGCACATTTTTTGTTTCAGAAGACGACACGAAAACGCAGGAAATACTATAATGAGGGCATATTCCTTCTCTCTAATGATTTTTCGATTGAATTCTTAGTTATGTTGGGTTTTGGAAATGGAGCCTTCGACGTATTTTCAGCGAAAATCATTTGGGAAATCTATCTTGTTTCTTAAATGGTAACAAAAACGCGGTAAATTTGTTTCTATCCTACTATCAACTGCTATTTTCAGTAAATTTCAGGATTGAGAGCTAAAATTCTCACAGCTTTTTATAATTGCAATTTGAGCTAACATGCACCTCACGAATATATATATTGTATTTCAGAGTTCGACAGAATTTGATCAAATTTATTTTATTCGTTCAGGCCGAAATTAAAAAGGGGAAAATACATTGCAAGTGCGATTCACGGAGAATACAGTAGTACTTTTCTCGTATTGGATTTTTTTATGAAATTGAAGGATGTATGTGTATATGGAACAAAAATTTTGAAAATAAATTGAAAATATTCTTAGTGGCAATGATGTCCCAAAACTGACTCCCCCGACCCAATGAAAAACGGGTTCTGATCTTGACAAAATTTGCAATGGAGACTCAGAATGAAAATGTTGAACTATACCGAAATTCAACTAATAAAGGCAAAAAATTCGCCCAATTAATCGGGCCTACAAAAATTTATTGAAAATGACAATTTTAGAAATTAAGAAAAGGCTTATTGCATTAATAAAAATATTTGTTATTATTTATTCTTGATTTCATTAAAATGTTGAAGTTTACTACGACTACATGGGACGGAAAAGAACATAAAAATTGATAGCCGATTAACTAATGCTATGAAAACACTTTTTCGAAATCAGATAAAGCCTTGCAAAAATAAAACATTGAAAAAAAAATATAGAACAAACTAAAAGCTTACTCGACCCAGTTATTCCCGTTGTTCTCCAACGATACATCACTTCAAATTACTGGCAGATCATTTGAACCAATTCTAAGATTTTCCAACATCTTCTTCAATAAAATTGTCTCGTTCAAAGAAAACATAATTCCTGATTTATTCAAGAAGAAAGAAAAGGAAACTCACTTGAGCCTCGGAATTCGTGCAGGCCGAAATCAGTGATCTGCAAAACCCAGCGACTGTCAACGACGCAATTTGAAGATTTCAGATTCCCGTGAGATCCGATTTCGGAGCCGTGAAGGTAAATCATTCCCTGGAAGCAATATGTTCAAAAAAAGGAAAGCATATGTTAGCATATACAATATATATATCGTTTGCCATGTGATTTCCTGTATGCAAATTCCGAATACGAGAAGGAATGCAAGTTTACTTGACCCAGTTATTCTCGTTGCTCTCCAACGAGACATTCAACCCTCAATCCAACAAAAAGGAATATTCGATCTCAAAATAAGGACATGCAAAGCACGGTTCATTGAACAGCTTTCTTCAAACTTATATACATTGTTGAAAGAACTTCATTTTCTAATGTGGGAATAAGACGTGCAATTTTCAGAGCATGGAAATAAATTCCCGGTGCTGAATTATTCGAGAAATGGGTTGTTTTGGGCGACAGCGAGCCCAAATAAAGGTGGACTTCGATGAAATTGTTATACAAATTCAATAAAATACGCCAGTCCACTGCGAAAGCTCTTTTTTTGAACATGTTTTCTTTTTCAGGAAAATGAAAATGGCGCTTCCCCTGCACGTACTTCTAACAGTTCTATGATAGTAAACATTATCTATATACACTGTATTCAACCGGTGTTCATTGAAATTCTATGCAGCAACGACCACATATTTGCATTACAAAAACCACAAACAAACCGGGTACAGTATTTCTGGTATGATTTTCACAATGTTCCTCTCTGCATCTAGAGGTCTGAATAAGTGCTATTCTGGGCATTATAAAGTAGTAAAAGTAAATAGAGCTACTGTATATAAATTGTATACATTATATATTCGGCACTATTTTCAATCGTTGAATTTCTTGCATGAAATAATGTATTGGAATCAGCAGAGAGTATGTTGAAAAGCACTGAAGTGTTACCAAATGATACGGCCATTAAAAAATTGGAATCGTTAAAACTCCATTGGATCTTTCTCAAAAAGTCTCAAAACTTATGAGCCAACCCTTGTACAGTAGAGCAACACTTGGGATTTTTCTTTAATTTTTTGGTTTTTTCCCATGTCAAAAGATCAGATTCCAGGTGATTTTTTTGACACAATTATTTTCTGTTTCTTGAAGTTCAGAAAAAAATGTATCAATCTTTCGGGAGACTTTTTTACAATTTTTGATAAACAGGAGAATCGTTTCGTTATGCATGGACCCACTTTACCTGAAGGTACAATATATAAAGATAAAGGCATCTTTTTTTGAATTTGTAGAAGAAGAATGACGGGTCCATTTTTCAGACTTCGGAAACCCAAAGTCTGAAGCGTTGATAATTTGTTTTGATGATCTCAAAGTTGCATATTTCGAAGTACAGTATAATTGAATTTTACCTCTGGAAACTTGTTCGAAAATAATTTCAAGTTGAGATGCATTCTCGTCCTTGAACGTTGCAGCAAAATATACAGGTTTTTCAATTTTTTTCATGAAAAATAAAATCATATCGGAGAATCAATATATGTCGAAAAGGTGCATTTAAATGAGAAACATTTTTGGAAGCATTTCTGCATAAAATCAGCAGCTCGCATTTTTCTGTTTGTGCGTCTGCTGAGGACATATAGAAATGCATTTACTCCGAGCACACAGGTGAATATACCCAGGGATTAATGCATGAGAAAGGGTGAATTACAATTTATAATGACACATGCTTGTCGTCGAACCTTGATGAGATCAAAGAGCAGCGACGCCTTGAACATGTNCACATTCCCGGGGTCAACACAGGCACCCAAGAAAGGCACGATATTGTCGTGACGCAGTTCCCTCATCTTGAGAAAACGAAAAAGCCATATACATACATGCCATGTGTGTATAATGAAGGAAAGGAAAATATGTATTTACAGCACGAGAGGACATGAATAGTATATAGAGCAAAAGATTCAACACACATAATTCGTCCGGAAAATGTGATATGCCATTGATGCCTGAGCAAATGTGCGAAAGGAACCCGGTGCTCTTTTCGGGTTGCTCAGCATTTCCTAGCTCGAACAAATCTATCGGGTTTCGCTTAGGTAATTAGTCATTCAGTTCCCTGAAATACACCTTAATCTCCTTTCGCCGACGGACATATACTGTCTTTGAACAGGTATCAGCTATATAGACATGAAAGTCGGGTGAAAAAGTAACGTGATCCTTGTTCAAATGTATTATTGGGTGTGAAATGACGGCTGTTTTTTTTTTTCCTTTCTTGGGCGCACAATTTGCGAGGAAATGCGATCAAAGGCACAGGAACTTGGATCCAGGACGGAAGAAAAGTTTCTTCTATGCGCAGACATCAGCAGAGATTTTTAGGAAGTT